AGTTTTTATCAACTTAAAATAGACTCTTATAGCTATAAGTTGTTATATGTAAGCCTCGTGGTAACCCCAAGACAAAAACCTATAATAAATACACAAGAGTTAAAGAGAAAGGAATATAAAAATATCACTAAAGTCATCAAACCACAAAGCATCCTGCTAAAGAAAGAGATCAAATCACAATTCTCCAAACAAAAGACATAGAGTGGCTGAATGGATAAAAAATCCAGCATCCATCTACATGCTGCCTACAAGAGATTCACTTTAGAAGTAAGGACACACACAAACTGAAAGTGAAGGGATGGAAAAAAAAATATCATACAAATGGAAACCAAAAGAAAGCTGGAGTAGCTATACTTGTATCAGACAAATAGATTTTAAAACAAAGACTGTAATAGGAGACAAAGATGGGTATTACATAATATAAAGGAGTCAATTAAATGAGAGGATATAACATTTGTAAATATTTATGCACCCAACATAAATATATAAAGCAAATATTATCAGACTTAAAGAGAGAAATAGACAGCAATACATTAATAGTAGGGGACTTTAATACCTTACTTACATCAATGGATAGATAGATCATCTAGACAGAAAACAATAAGGAAACATCAGCCTTAAATGACACATTAGACCACAAGGACTTAACAGATGTATACAGAACATTCCATCCAAAAGTAACAGAATACATATTCTCCTCAAGTGTACATGGAACAATTTCCACAGTAGATCATATGTTAGGCCACAAAACGAGACTTAATAAAGAGGGTTGAAATCATATCAAGCATCTTTTCTGAGTTCAAAGGTATGAAACTAGAGATTAATTATGTGAAGAAAACTGGAAAAATCACACATACGTGGATATTAGAGAACACACTACTGAACAACCAATGGGTCAAAGAAGAAATCAAGAGAAGAATCAAAAAATATCTTGAGACAAACAAAAATGGAAATATAACATAGCAAAATTTGTGGAATGCAGCAAAAGCAGTTTTATGAGGGAAGTTCACAGCAACAACGCCTGCCTCAAGAAACAAGAAAAGTCTCAAATACACAACCTAACTTTGCACCTCAAGGAACTAGAAAAAGAAGAACAAACAAAGCCCATAATTAGTAGAAGGAAGAAAATGCAAGGATTAGAGGAGAAATAAATGAAATAGAGACTAAAAAGACAATAAAACAGAACAATGAAACTAAGATCTTGTTCTTTGAAAAGATAAACAAAATTGATAAACCTTTAGCTAGACTCACCAAGAAAAAAAGAGAGATAAATAAAATCAGAAATGAAGGAGAAGCAGTTACAACTGATACCACAGAAATACAAAGGATCATCAGAGAGTATTATGAACAATTATATGCCAACAAATTGGACAACCTAGAAGAAAATATAAGCACATTAAAGTAGAGAAAGCACAAAGCTCAGGACTCCTCGCCACATTATTCAGACCACCCACTACCCGAGAGGTGGTACCAAGAGGAGACAGATGGCCCTGATTATGTCTCTGACAAATGAGAACCACTTGTGTCAATGTGGCCACCAATGTCACCTTATCATCTACACAAGGGAGATAACCTAAGAAGACACTCAGGTCCTCTAGGCCCTAAAGTACAAAATAGCAGCATCTAAAGCTCAATATTGGCTATTCTTTTCAGCATTCACTTTCTATAGTCACTTCTTTCCTAGCAAATTAAAAAATAAAATAAAATAAAGCAATGCCTGACATATAGTAGGTGCTCAATAGCAATTGGTTGAATAAAATTTGAAAGATGCTATGAAGAATAACTGTGTATTACTTATGAGAATATAAAGTAGGGGGATCTGACATTGACACTGAACTCAGCTAACCCTCTTTAAATACATGACAAATGAACTAAGATCTGAAGTACATAGAACAATGTAGAAGAAGGAGAAAACCTTCCAAGAGGCCTCAGACAAAGCTGCAAAAGGTAAAAAAAAATCTCTTTTGGATTTAGTGAGTTTGTTATGCTTTAAAAAAATGCAAAAAATGTTAACGTTACTGGAAGCCAAGAAAGGATAAGCTAGGTGTGAAATATGGCTGGAAAACCTGAGGTGTCTTACATGTCATATATTTCCACTCTCATTTCAACAACAATTTGAAGCCAATAAAAGACTTTGTGTTGGGAGGCCTGTAGCTGGTGTATTAAAAGTATGTAGAGTATGACCTACTGAATGAGGAGGCACAAGCCACTCACATGTAGTAGGCAGGTAGCCCCCTCAGCATCTGAGCTCCTGCTTTGCGGGAGTGAAAACTCTGGGGTGGTTTTGATTGAAGGTGCAGTTTTAATATACTCACACAGAAGAGGTAAAGCCAGAAGATGTATTACCTACAGATGCCAGAAGTGGGGTGGATGCAATGAGCTCGGGAAAGGGCAGTCCTCTGTCCTAGGTCACTAGTGAGCAGGAGATAGAGAGCAAGGTAGCAAGCACATATTACTTATAAGGTGGTTTGGACAGAGGTCACTAACTTTTTGTGGGCTCAACTCTAAGTGGTTATTTTACAAAGTGCCCCAGGAAAAGCAAAGCAGGAACTTGTGGTATGAATCCTAAGCTTGGGTCCTTATCTAAATGTCCAGACTCTGGGTGTGAGCATGGTGGTCATACTGTAAAACGCCTAGGTAGCAACTCAGAATAGCTGTTTTCTCATCACAGGCTTTAATTAGCAGAGTGACCTCATCAGTTTTAAGTTGTGGAACCATTATTTTGGCTACAGTATGCGGAAAAGGAGTATGAGGAAGTGGATACTTAGAGTTAATTTAGGTGATTATTTCAGTAGCCTAGGCAAGAGATGACAGACTAGTGTGAAAGCTTTGGAGACAAAGAGAAATGAATTGAAATATAAACATTAATAGGACTTGTTGATTGACTGAAAATGGTAGATGAGGAAGAAAGCAATGTTAAGGATAATACCAAGTTTCTGTTTGTATGCAGCTAGTTGGATGGTGGTTCCATTTAGAGCACTGATGAGGGTCATATTTGGGGGCAAGATTATAAAATAAATTTTAAACACATTCAGATTAAGATACAATTGAGATGTTGAAATATGTTCAACATATATCTTTGAGGACATAATTCAACCCAGAACAGAGAAGAAGGGGAATTTTATTAAACCTATATATGACTAAAAGGCTACAAAAATTACTACTACCACATGGAATACAGTTTATAGTTTTTCATATTAAATATGCATAAATAACTACTTGGTAAAATGAATAAATTATCATTTATCCTCAACTGAAAAGAACCTGTGCAATTATTGATTGATAGATATTTTTTGCAGGGCCTCTGTTTAAATAAATAGTTTGATCAAATGTATTACAGAATTCATGAGCCCACAAGAGGTGTTATGATGTATCAATAAATATTCAGAATAATTAATAAAGGAGATTGACTATGTATTTGCTTATTGTCCAGTGAGTGTGCATGCAGGTTGTTTATAGTGTCTAGACATCATTTTTTCCCGTTCAGATCTAGGAACCATTTCTGCCCTCTTTATTGTCAAATGTGTCTTTCCTGGCTAATTTCATTCCTCACGCCATGAAAAAAAGTGAGCAAAGTTGTTATTATTCACAATGTCACGGCTCTTAGGAATTTGTTTTTATTGAAGCAACATGGATCTTCTTGAGTTTGCAGTTCCCTATCACCATTTGCTCAATTCTGATTACATCATTCATTACATCATGCTGTCCATCAATATTCTTTTCCAGTAACTCTCTCAAAGGTTGCTACTGGGCTTTACGGATGACCAAAAAAAAAAAAAAAACAATCTAATCTAAAATATGCAGAAAAATGTAAACAATAATTAATTTTCTAGACACATTAAATTTATCATTCAAAATTTTATAGCACAAATGTAGACAACACATCTTCCAATCACGTCTTCATAAAAGTCTGTAGGCCATAATCCTTGCCTTCCTAGAAAAAATTTTAGGATAATCACACTCATGAATTTAGATGTAAGAATATTATAAAAGAATATCAGAATGAATCTGTCTAGAATAAATATGATATCACATCATGACCAAGTTGAATTTTATCAAGGAATACAAAGTTCTTTAACATAAGAAAACTTATAAACGCCATTTACCACATTAAAAGATTAAGGAAGATAAATCATGAGAACATCAAAATAGATGCAAGAAACAAAAACACATTAAAAAAATTAAAAACCTCTTCCTATAAAAAACTCTTAGCAAATAGGAATAGAAAAGAACTGTCTTAACTTACAAAAAAGTATATAAAAAAACTAGAAGAAACACTACTAATGTTGAGATGTTAGAAGCATTTTCTATAAAATGTGGAAAAAGTCAAAAATGTTCACAATTAATATTGTCCTGGCAGTCCTACCCATTTTAATTAGGCAAGCTATAAGTAATAGTTATAAGACGTGAAAAAATAAAACTTATTAGGTTCTATGTTTTGCAGTATTTAAAAGAAATCACTAATTATTAGAATTTATGAGGGTTTTCAGGATGGATGTTAAACAAAAGAAGAATATCCAAAATAGTTACATTTCTATATAGAAATAACTATTTTAAAAGATAATAAAATTATGTAATTGCAATAGCAAAAATGTTAGTTACATATAATAGGGATACATACAATAAATGATATGCAGTAACTTTGTAGAAAAATTATATGTTATTTAAGAGGACAAAAATCAATGCAAGATGTATATATTATAAATGAATAAGAAGATAATATTATAAATATAACACTCTCAAAATTCACCTATAGATTCTACGAAATTATAAGATTCTTCTAAAATTGATATAGAAAAGCAAAGATCTAGGCCATTTGAAGAGTAAAAAAACAAGTTAAAGAAAATTACTTTAATAATTATGAAGATGTTTTATCAGGCTATAATACTAAAACAGTGAAATGTTGACAGTTAACTTATGCAGAGGGAAAGAAAAAAAGGTAACAGATATTAAAACCATCTTACTCATGGTTATGTCTGTCATCAGAAATACTTACATACTTAGTGTATTTATTTCCTGCAAATCCATTTTCTTTCTGCATAGCATCTAGCTGTTGCCACACCATCATCATTGAGGTAAGCACATTTTTCATTCCCTCTCACATGAAACCTATAGAAAAGGGATTAAACACTAAGGACTAGGGAGTCCTGTGATTTCTCCCTTGCCCAATGATGCGTTTTAAAAAAATATTACCTGTCCAAAGTCCTGAAAAAGTGTGCAGTGACACAGTCCTCTCTTGCTAGGGTTAAGATACCTGTGCCATATTGAACTATAAGAATCTGTCTTCCAAAAATTTGTATTTGTTAAATTGACATTGTTAGTTACATGTAATCAATAGAACTACCATTTCATATAAACCAATGGTTCTCAACTGGAAGCGATTTTGCCTTCCCTCTGCTCCCTGCAAGGGATACTTGCAACATCTGGAGATGTTTTTGGTTATCACAAGTGGAGGGAGAAGGGAGGCAATTGCTAGTGTCTAGTGGCCAGAGGCCAGGGATGCACAAGAAAACACCCCGTCCCCACAACAAAGAATTATTCAGTCCAGAATGTCAGTAGTGTTTCTAATGTGAAATTCTAATATAAACTAGGTGGCTAAGAGGATGGCAGTCACCATTTGGGGTGTTATGCTGAGGTCATGTGTGCAGTGAACTCAGGTCTTTAGATCCAATTTTCCATCTTGTAAAATGGAAGATATAAAGCCCAGGATAAATTGTATGTTATTTGAAATTGTCTTTTCAAATAACAACAGGTTAAAAAGAACAACAAATTTAACTTGAACTGTAAAAGATGTCGGCCCACAGCTAACATGAAGTTTGAAAAATAGATATAGAATTGGAGAAGACAGGTTAAAACCAGGCAAAATTTTATTTTATTTTATTTTTTGGACTGTGTTTATGAAGCTCAGGTCTTTATTTTCAAATAATCAACTAGGTGATCTTTCCTTATATCTCGATTTCCAACTTCTCTGGTTAACTCTTGGAACTAATCTCAATACATGATACAATCTTCTGCACCTCATCTTTGCAACATGCACACAAATCTCGGGCTCTAGAGAAATATAACCAATGCATAGGTTCTAGAAAAGGTTGGGCTATCTAAATTTAAATATCTCAGAAAGAAAGAAACTTACCAGTTGTTAAATGTGGTTCCATTTACCCATTTTCTTTGATTTTCTCTCATCTCCAGCCCAATCCAGTGATCAGAAGTGCATTTGTAGTGCTTAAGAAAGTGCTTTAAAGACAAAATAGATTGCATAATTTTACTTGTGAGTTTTTACTACCATCTATAGTGTCCCTCTTGCTTTGCAGGTTGCGAAGGGAAGGCGACATATGTTCAGCTCCTGGCTCCACCAGAAAATAGCTATGGGATTTTGAAAAAGTATTTTACTCTTACCCTCAGTTTTCTTGTTTGTAAAACAAAGATGTGAGATAAATTTTCTTTAAAATACTTTTTGATTCCAAATTGATAAATATTCAACATGGAAATCTATTCCTCCAGGATTTTTAAACTGTAAAATCCTGGAAAGTTAGTATTTGCAATTATGCTCTTGCACAGTCTTCCCAATCATAAGATATTTATTATAATGTTTTTCCACTTCCCAGTAAATACTAGTATATTGAGTTTAATGTTATATTTTACTTTAACTTCTCTCGCAAAACAATCATACATGCACATGCACACACACATGCATGCGTGTATGCACACACACCTCATATATCCAATTCCTTTAGAATCTAATTATCAAGTTTTATTTTTCTGCCAAATATTTTTATTTCTAAAGGAATCATTCAGGGGAAATATATGTTTTCCTGATATTTCCCCTTTTCTCCTTTTTATTCATTCAATGTTGAAATTTCTTGTGACCTTAGAGCCTTTTTTATCATAGAATTATGTTATATGTAGAAAGTCATTGAGTCTACTCTGCTACTAAATAGCTGGGAAACCATAAGCTTGACATTGTATCAACCAAGGTTCAATTTTATGATAAAAGTAAGGGAATTGTGACAGATCATAACACTATTGTCCATTCCTATCTAATAACAGTGACACTAATAACCTTTGGCATTGTGCTATAACATCTTCTGCAGCATTTCATGAATTTATTTGGAAAAAATATCAGTTCATTAGTCTAAGCTTTGGTTTTACAAAGGAACAGATTAAGAAAACATTGTCCCTGGATTCACAGCTTCATTTGTAGTGAGGAAAATTATATAAACAGAGTTAGAAAATATTCTACTTGATAAAGAGATGATAATGAGTATTATGAATACAGGGAGGAGTAGAAGATTCCATATAAATGTAGAGGGCAAGGGAGAAGAGGGAAGTTCATATTTGAGATTTAGGAAAGAGATTGTTTGAAGGAAGAAAAAAAAATATAAGAAAAGATAAATGTATTGGAAACCAACAGGATATATGTGATCGGATAACTGGGAAAATTGGATGAGATTCAGTAGTTTTGGTCTTCTTGACAGGGAACCAGGAGATACATTTCCTAGAGACTGTCCTACGAAAAATGTTAATCGTTATTTGTTCAATAAAGATTTGCCCATGTAGCCTCTTGTTAAAAATGCAAGGTAATTTTAAATAGGTGGAAATAAATATGGAAAACAGTTTACAAAACAACCTTCATCTCATTTTAACTGAAGAAAACATTTTGTAATTTAAATAAATATATGTAATATTTTAATTAAACTATTTTAAATAAACAGTGCTTTAAAATTCCTCCATACATTACTTTTTAACACTCCTTCACGGATAGCTTTACCTCATTCTGTTTGTCATTTAAATTTTTCCCAGATTATGTAGTACATAATAGCCCTCTATGATCTTCAAAATATATCAGGATATTATATGATAAAAGTCTTTTTTCTTGATCCAAACAGTACAATTATTCTTATCTGATATATTTAATGATTTCTCTTAAGCTCAAAACTAATTAGTTTTCTGTACTTCTGTTCTTTGTGTTTCAGGATATTCACTATTTTTGTCAGTCTTCACTGAAAAAATTCCTATAAATGAAGATTTTTTTAAATATTTTGCTTTGTCATTTCCTTATCCTTCAAAAATTTTATCATCACATTATTTTTCTATTTTGCTGCTAATTTACCCTGTTTTTTTCCCAAGAGGAACTGTAAAGGACAGCTTAAAGATTTGTCAGAATGTTCATTTCAAAAGTCTTGCAAAATTCGGCAGTGAAACTGTTGACTATGGAAGCTCTTCCTACTAAATTGAGCCTGAATCTTACTTTTTAATTTGAAGTCTATTCTTAACATATCTAGTTTTTCACATTTTATTCATGTTTCTATACCTTTTGTTGCATACAGAATAGTTTAGTTTCTTTGTACTGACCTATAAATTGCCCCAGCCTGGTTCACATCCATTTAAATTTAAACTAATCTTCAGGCAGATTGCAGATACATATTTTGTTTGCCACAGAAGTACAACACAATTCTCTCTTAACAATGTTGACTGCTGTGCCGTGCTGCTTTACATTTTAAGCACTTTTTATTGCACATTATTCACAAAAATTTTTTTAAAACAAGTTACTTGACCTCTTAAATTGACCCTTTACTTTAAAAGAGACTAAACAAAAGTGAAAACATATGCTTACCACATAAGTAACTTGGCAAAGAACAGATTTCACAAGTGCAGAAGTATATAGTTTCACAATCCCTTGTGAAAGTTCTTCGAGATTCTTTTTACTCATAGGATTTTTGCCACATGAATCAATGTTTATTCAACAAAGATCCACTAAGCTTTTAATTTATACCTGCCTTTATGCTACAGCAAAGGATACAATTTCAAGCAAAACACGATGTCTGCTCACTGGAAGCTCATACCCCAGTCTAGGGGGAAACTTTGGTTACACACCTATTGCATTACTGGTAGTGAGTGCTCTGATGGAGGTTGCCATGGGACCACAGGGACAAACAGCAAAGCAAACCTGAGAAGGCAGAGGAATGTTCTTCAAAGGGAGTGGAATGAGAATCCCATTCTTCCTGAGGCAGTTCTCTCTGTGGAGTCCTGGCTTATAAAGGTTTCCAAATATTATCAAACTCTTCTATTTATGCTCCTTAAAATATAAAGATAGCTATCAAGTCGACTACTTGATGTTTAAGTCTTGTACTAGCCAAACAAGTTACAACCAGCTTTTTCAACTGTATCTCATATGGCATGTTCTGAACATTCAATATTCTGCATATATAGACAGGCATGTGTGAAGTTTTAAAAAACATGTTGGCATTTAAATATTCCCAATTCCCCTACTCAAGATAATTCATAAGAATGCATATTAAATTAGTTACCATTTCTTCAATGTTGTCAATCACAGTTAGGTCAGCATGTTGTGTGGAACAATTGTATTTACTTGAATTCCAATCCTTTTCTTCTTTAGAGAAATAATAGCATTTGTCTCGGAAACCAATCCAATCATTTGGGCAACTATACTGAGGTTTTTTATCTGGAAATGAGAAAAATACATATTTTAAGGACAAGATGAAATAACATGCTACAGTGTTTTGAGATCATTGAAGAAAGATAGGATTGTAATGTAAAATATTATGCTCATGATCCAGAATTGCATATCTATCACATAACTAGTTGAAAAACCAATTTCATTTTAGATTAAATGACAGCAGTTCAGACTTTAACAGGATACCGATATTCCTTTCAATTCTAACCTCAGTGTTACATAGGATTTCCTAGAGCAACCCGGTGATTTCACTTGTGTTAAGTTACCTTTGCCATTTCTTGGTAAATGAAATATAATGAAATCCTAGCAGTATCTGGGAGTAATAAAAATATTAATTTATACTAGACCATTCTAAATCTAGGACACGTGATTTAATCTCAAGAAAGCAACGAAAATAATAAAACAGAATATATAACTAATAAGATATGTGTTGAATTGCCTGTTGTCAACTGGGTACCACCATGACTATACGGTTTTGAGTTAACAAATGAAAAGAACCCACAAGAGATTTGGAAGGTGAACGTAAAACAGAAGGCATTATTCTTGGAGACTTCGGGCGTTAGAACTTCACAGGCCTTTTCATGATTTCTCTTTTGTATTCTTGGCAGCTGGATGTGTTAGCTTCTTAGACTTTTCTCTAATCTCTGGTTCTCCAAACACATTAGTGCTTTAAACCAAAATCATTAGTGTGTATTTCTCCTCCAGCTAAACGGCCTTCCACACCATCACTCTCCAGCTCTTCCCAGTCATGTTTCCCTTATTCCTACATTAAAGTCCTACTGTTGTAACATTCGCAATGTCTATTTTCCTGAACACACCCAGACTGAATCAGTTTTTGGTACCAAAAGTGGTTCTAAGAGAATCTTAAGGGTAAGATATGATATTGATTTTTCAATGTAATTCATTTTAAAGGCATTGATCCAATCACCAGTTGTAAATGGGATGCTGGTGATCTATGATGCACAGTGGTAAAACAATTAGTTAAATTATCATCTATAGTCACCTGATGCCAAGTACCTATAAAAGTTAAAACCTTTAACATCATTCTCTTAATCACTGATATAACAACAGGCAAAAAGAGCAAGGATAATAATATATGAACACCATGATTAACAAAATTAAGCCAGTTGACATACATAGACAGCTACATGCAACAACAACAGAATGTACATTCTTTAAAGTGCACAGGAAACATTTACCAAAACAGGCAATAAAGTGGCAAAAACAAATTTTAAAAGATTGAAGACATTTACAGTATGTCACCTGACTGCAGTAGACTTCAGCCATATATCAATAACAAAAATAAAATTAGAAAATCACCAAAATTTGCAAATTAAGCAACAGTGCTAAATAGCTCATGAGGCAAAGAAGAAGAAGAAATCATTGGAAATAGAAAATATTTTGAACTTAAAGATAGTTACATATATTTTGGTATATGTGATATATACGTAATATAATATCAAAACTTATGGGATATGAATAAACTTGTGGAACACAGCACATTGCCTTAGAGCTGAAAGGAAAATTCACTGGCTTAAATTTATGTTTTAAAAAAGAAGGAAGATTTTTTAAAAAGACAATTATCTATCTCAAAATGTTAGTAAGAGTGGCGAATTAAAATCAAAGTAGAAAGAAAGACACCATTAAAAAATAAGAGCAGAAATCAATTGAATAGAAATTAATGTAAAATCCAGCAAGCGCACAAATTCATGAGCTGTCTTTTTGAATAATCTAAAATAGCATAGAACACTAGGAAAACAGGTAAAAGGAAAAAAATTAAATAGAAGGAGATAAAGCAACAAATTAGCAATACCATGAATGAAACAGGTAAACAGGAGAACAGGAATAATAAGAATTAGAGCAGAAACTGATGAAATTAAAAACAGGAAATTAATAGGGAAAACCAACAAAGTCAAAAGCTGTTTTTTTGCAAAGAACAATAAAATCAATAACTCTCTAGCCATACTAGGGAAAAAGGGAGAAGACACAAATTAATAATATCAGAAATGAAAGAGAGGACATCACAACTTATCCCAGGGAAATCAAAAGGATAATAAAGAAATACTATGAATAACTTAATGCCCACAAATTTGATAGTCTATGTAAAATGGAACAATTCCTTGAAAGACACAATCTTCCAGAACTCACATAAGAAGAAATAGACAATCTGAATAGGTCTATTTGTTAAAGAAATTGAGTCAGTAATTAACAATTTCCCAAAATAGAAAGCACCAGGCCCAGATGGATTTATTGGTGAATTCAACTAAACATTTAAGGAAGAAATTATGCTAATTCTCTACAATCTCTTTCAGAGGATAGAAGCACAGGAGTACTTACTAACTCATTCCATGAGGCCAGCATTACCCTAATACCAAAACCAAAGACATTACAAGGAAAAAATAAAAAAACTACAGACCAATATCTCTCACGAACATAGATGCAAAAATTCTCAACAAAATATTAGCAAATCAAATCCTATAGTGTATAAAAAGAATTATACACAAAAAGTGGGATTTATCCCAGATATGCAAGGCTGGTTCAATATTTAAAAATCATTAATGTCATCCATCACATCAACAAGCTAAAAAAGAAATCACATGATTGTATCAATATAAGCATTTGATGAAATCCAACACTCATTCATGACAAAAACTCTCAGTAAACTAGGAATTGAGGAGAACTTCCTCTACTCAATAAAGACTATTTACAAAACCCCTACAGTTAATATCATATTTTATTGTGAGAAGCTGCAGGCTTTCTCACTAGGATCAGGTACAAGGCAAGGATATCCCTTTTCACCACTCCTTTTCAGTATTGTACTGGAAGTTCTACCTAATGCAATAAGGTAAGGAAAGGAAATAAAAGGCATATGGATTAGGAAGGAAGAAATAAACTGTCTCTGTTCACAGAGGGCATGATTTTGTGTAGAAAATCTGGAAGAATTGGAAAAAAGTCCTAGAACTAATAAGCAATCGCAGCAAGGTTAGAGGATACAGGTTAATATACAAAAGTCAATTGCTTTCCTATGTACCAGCAATGAACAAACGGAATTTGAAATTAAAAACATAATGCCATTTATAGTAGAACTCCCAAAATAGAATACATAGGTATAAATCTAACAGAATATGTCTAAAATCTATATGAGGGTAATTACAAAACACTGATGAACAAAATCAAAGAACTAAATAAATTGAGAGCTTATTCCATGTTCGTGGATAGGAAGACTCAATATTGTCAAGATGTCAGTTATTCCCAACTTAGTCTATAGATGCAATGCAATCCCAATCAAAATCTCAGAGAGTTATTTTGTGGATATCAGCAAGCCGATTCTAAAGTTTACAAGGAGAGGCAAAAGACACAGAATAGCCAACCGATATAGAAGGAGAAGATGAAAGTTGGAGGACTGGCACTACCCAGCATAAAGACTTACTGTAAAGCTACATTAATCAAGCCAGTGTGGTATTGGTGAAAAAATAGACAAATAGGTCAATGGAACAGACTAGACAGCCTAGAAATATACCCACATAAATATAGTCAACTGAACTTAGACAAAGGAACAAAGGCAATACAATGGAGCAAAGATAGTCTTTTCAACAAATGGTGCTGGAACAACTGAACATCCACATGCAAAAAGAATGAATCTAAACACAGGCCTTATATCCTTCACAAAAATTAACTTAAATATATCAAAGACCTAAATTTAAAACACGAAACTGTACAACTCCTAGAGGATAACATAGGAGAAAACCCAGACGACCCTGGAATGGTGATGACTTTTCAGATACAACACCAAAGGCACAGTCAATGAAAGAACTAATTGATAATTTGGACTTCATTTTAATGAACAACTTCTACTCTATGAAAGACAATATCAAGAAAATGAGAAGACAAGTCACAGAGTGGGAGAAAATATGTGTAAAAGACATACCTGATAAAGGACCATTATGCAAAATATACAAAGAATCTTTAAACTTAAAAATAAGAAAACAAACAATCCAATTAAAAAATAGGCAAAAAGCATGAACAGACATCTTAGCAAAGAATATATACATATGGCAAATAAGAATACCAAAAGATGCTTCACATCATATTTCATCAGAGAAACGTAAATTTAAACAAGTTACTACACTCCCATTAGAGTGGCCAAAATTCAGAACACTGACAATACCAAATGCTGGCGAGGATGTGGAGCAACAGGAACTCTCATTCATTGCCATTAGGAGTGAAAAATGGTACAGGCCCTTTGGAATTCAGTCTGGAGGTTTCTTACAAAACTAGACATACTCTGGGGCTGGCCTGGTGGCATAGTGATTAAGTGCACGCACCCCTCTTCCGCGGTCTGGGGATTGCAGGTTCGGATTCCAGTGGCAGACCAATGCACTGCTTATCAAGCCATGTTGCGGTGGCGTCCCATATAAAGTAGAGGAAGATGGGCATGGATGTTAGCCCAGGGCCAATCTTCCTCAGCAAAAAAAAAAGAGGAGGATTGGCAAAGGATGTTAGCTCAGGGCTGGTCTTCCTCACACACACAAAAAAAAACTAGACATACTCTTACCATACAATCCAGCGATCACACTCCTTGGAATTTACTCAAAGAAGTTGAAAACTTATGTCCACACTAAAACCACCTGTACACAGATGTTAACAGGAGCTTTCTTCCTAATTGCCAAAACTTGGAAGCAATCAAATGCTCTTCAGTAGGTCAATGGATAAGTAAACTGTTATACATCCAGACAATGGAGTATTATTCAGTACAGACAAGAAATGAGCTACCACACCATGAAAAGAACACAGGAGATCCTTAAATGCATATTACTAAGTGAAAGAAGCCTGTCTGAAAAGTCTACATAACATATGATTTCCAATTATATGACATTCTGGAAAAGGCAAAACTATGGACACAATAAAAACATCAGTGGTTGCCAGGCATTGGGTGGAGGGGGAATGAATAGGTGGGGCAGAGAATTTTTAAGGTAGTGAAAATACTC